AAACTGATTAATCATTTTAGATTAACAAGTGTTCACTCTTTCTTCCAGAAATCTACAGGCAGTCTTATGGATAGTTATTTTTTTAATGTTTTTAGGGTGAGTTCTGATTTAATTTTGTGTAAAAATGACATGTTGGTTTTTGATATTTCGTGTGCATCTCATTATCTTGCATAACAATGCGTAATATGTGTATTTTGGCACAATGTCGTCCGTTCTGGTGTAATAGTGATTTTAGAAACTAGTCAGAGATTCAAAAATGTAATTATTATAGTGATTTATTTCCTTTCCTCTTAATAACTGCCTAATAAGTCACAATTATTTATTATGCCGTTTTGTACAATACAGATAAAATACAGGAGCATGAACAGTGTTAATGATGTAAAATGAATCAAATTCAGTTTTTAAGCGTTATTATATTCAATATTCAATATTCAGTTCAGTAAAACCCAGTAATTATTATAGCAACATTATATTTACCTCTTAAAAATATTCCTTTGCCGTATGAACTTTTAAACAACTGTTTTATTGAGTTTTCTTTTCAACTACACTCTTAAAAATAAAGGTTCTTCAAAAGGTTCTTCAAGCGATGCCATAGAAGAACCATTTTTGGTTCCACGAAGAAGCATTCAGTCAAAGGTTCTTTAAAGAACCATCTCTTTCTTACCTTTTTATGATCTGAAGAACCTTCTTTTGGCACAAAGAAGCTTTTGTGAAACAGAAAGGTTCTTCAGATGTTAAAGGTTCTTTATGGAACCATTTAGACAAAAAGGTTCTTCTATGGCATCGTGAAGCACCTTTATTTTTAAGAGTGTAAAGTGTCGTATGAAACGTGCCACTGCATTCACACACAAACGTATTTAGGAGTCTATATAATGGATTTCTTCTGATATTATTCGACATGTTTGAGCTACACCACATGTATTAAAGCTGGGCTTGTGTTTGGTTGCGTAACGTTGTGTTTCTCACATTGCTCTCATTCGGTCTTAACGAGGATTATTAGATTCACTCAGAGCAGATGAAATCATTACAGCAAAATTAAAGCCCTTTGGTTTCAGACAATTTTCTGAATCACGAGCTCAGAAATCGTTGTCAGCATGTGGCGTTAAACACTGAAAGAGTAGATTTGATCAGTTTTTAAGGGTTATTTGGTCCTAAATCACTGCATCAGGACTAAATCTTTCTGATCAGCCTGTGTATTGCATGCAGAGATCGATTACTCATATTATTGCTCTTCTTGTGTTGCTAATTTGTCATTTAGATTTTTTTTACCAGATCATATTTGTGCATTTGTTATATAATGTTTGTTATGAAAGCTTAAAGACTCACATAACACACATCAACTTAAAGTGAAAATAAAAATAGTGCAACAATCCATACAAATATTACAACCTACTGCATGCCTAGATAAAAAAAAAAAATCTGAATTTTAGAATTGTCTATTTAATAAAATGAGCACAAAAGATGTTCTGTAACACAAACTAGCAGCTCATTAGTTTTAGTGTTCTGCCACCTGCTGGTGAAATGTGACGATGTTCTTCAATTATCTGGTATTTATCACAATATTCTTAAACGATTGAAATATGAAATAATTAAATATTCTAAAATAATATTTTTTGGCTTTTGACTTGAGCTCTGATGATTTGTTATACACTATTTTAATGTGTTTTTGACCAGTAAGGATTATAAATAGTTTCATCTCAGACAAAGTGGTTCATATGTGTTATAGATTTTGAACCCCCCCCAAAAAACAAAAACCTTAAATATGATTGATATGTAGATTTAGTTGTAAACGGCTGCCAGTATAATTCAGGACTGTTCTGACTCCTTCAAAGTGTTCAGCGTGTCATTGTGTTTTTTAAGCTGTATTAACTGCTAGTTAACCGTTTAGTTGTGTCGGTGTGTGACGGTGTGTTTGTCAGCGATGATGAGTGTGTGATTTCAGTCAGAGTCACGAGCGGATGCAGTCAGCTGTTTAGATGACTCTGTGTGTGTGTGTGTGTGTGTGTGTGTGTGTGTGAGAGAGAGAGAGAGTGTGTGTGTGTGTGTGTGTGAGAGAGAGAGAGAGTGTGTGTGTGTGTGTGTGTGAGAGAGAGAGAGAGTGTGTGTGTGTGTGTGTGTGAGAGAGAGAGAGAGTGTGTGTGTGTGTGTGTGTGAGAGAGAGAGAGAGTGTGTGTGTGTGTGTGTGTGAGAGAGAGAGAGAGTGTGTGTGTGTGTGTGTGTGAGAGAGAGAGAGAGTGTGTGTGTGTGTGTGTGTGAGAGAGAGAGAGAGTGTGTGTGTGTGTGTGTGTGAGAGAGAGAGAGAGTGTGTGTGTGTGTGTGTGTGAGAGAGAGAGAGAGTGTGTGTGTGTGTGTGTGTGAGAGAGAGAGAGAGTGTGTGTGTGTGTGTGTGTGAGAGAGAGAGAGAGTGTGTGTGTGTGTGTGTGTGAGAGAGAGAGAGAGTGTGTGTGTGTGTGTGTGTGAGAGAGAGAGAGAGTGTGTGTGTGTGTGTGTGTGAGAGAGAGAGAGAGTGTGTGTGTGTGTGTGTGTGAGAGAGAGAGAGAGTGTGTGTGTGTGTGTGTGTGAGAGAGAGAGAGAGTGTGTGTGTGTGTGTGTGTGAGAGAGAGAGAGAGTGTGTGTGTGTGTGTGTGTGAGAGAGAGAGAGAGTGTGTGTGTGTGTGTGTGTGAGAGAGAGAGAGAGTGTGTGTGTGTGTGTGTGTGAGAGAGAGAGAGAGTGTGTGTGTGTGTGTGTGTGAGAGAGAGAGAGAGTGTGTGTGTGTGTGTGTGTGAGAGAGAGAGAGAGTGTGTGTGTGTGTGTGTGTGAGAGAGAGAGAGAGTGTGTGTGTGTGTGTGTGTGAGAGAGAGAGAGAGTGTGTGTGTGTGTGTGTGTGAGAGAGAGAGAGAGTGTGTGTGTGTGTGTGTGTGAGAGAGAGAGAGAGTGTGTGTGTGTGTGTGTGTGAGAGAGAGAGAGAGTGTGTGTGTGTGTGTGTGTGAGAGAGAGAGAGAGTGTGTGTGTGTGTGTGTGTGAGAGAGAGAGAGAGTGTGTGTGTGTGTGTGTGTGAGAGAGAGAGAGAGTGTGTGTGTGTGTGTGTGTGAGAGAGAGAGAGAGTGTGTGTGTGTGTGTGTGTGAGAGAGAGAGAGAGTGTGTGTGTGTGTGTGTGTGAGAGAGAGAGAGAGTGTGTGTGTGTGTGTGTGTGAGAGAGAGAGAGAGTGTGTGTGTGTGTGTGTGTGAGAGAGAGAGAGAGTGTGTGTGTGTGTGTGTGTGAGAGAGAGAGAGAGTGTGTGTGTGTGTGTGTGTGAGAGAGAGAGAGAGTGTGTGTGTGTGTGTGTGTGAGAGAGAGAGAGAGTGTGTGTGTGTGTGTGTGTGAGAGAGAGAGAGAGTGTGTGTGTGTGTGTGTGTGAGAGAGAGAGAGAGTGTGTGTGTGTGTGTGTGTGAGAGAGAGAGAGAGTGTGTGTGTGTGTGTGTGTGAGAGAGAGAGAGAGTGTGTGTGTGTGTGTGTGTGAGAGAGAGAGAGAGTGTGTGTGTGTGTGTGTGTGAGAGAGAGTGTGTGTGTGTGTGTGTGTGTGTTTGGACGAGCATTGATCTGATGAATAATCCAGGACTGATGTCACCAGTAATATTTAATGTCTCTCTTTTGCTCATTATTTAATCAGAGTGTAAATGATTTTAGATATTTAGATGTATAGACTATTACTGCTAATAATAATAATTATCATTTTTTTTTAATTATACTAATTAATTATTAGTATAATTAGACCGCCTCCTTCCTTTTGACCGGTATTCTCTCTCAAACCCCGCCCTCTAGAGACATGTCAGCCAATCCGAACGTGTAGGTTTCAGTGATTATCATATTTTATTTTTAAAATAAATTTTTTATTATAATTAAATATTATCTTATTATTTTCGTTTTGTATTTTAAGACATTTTACACAAAATTTACTTTTTTATTTTATTCGTTTTTATTGTTATTTATATGTTATATTTTGTATTAAAATATGTATTTATATATATATTCTATCATTAATATGCATTATTAATAATAATAATAAAAATAATAATTATTATTATTATTGTAATTATTTATTCTTATTAATTATTATTATAAGTCGACCACCTGCCTTCTCTCATATTTAATTTTTATATAGTTTGTTTTTAAAAATATATTTTAATCGTTTATTTTTCTTTTTTGTTTTAAGACATTTTACACAAAATTGGTTCTTTTTTAATTAACTTTTTAATTAACATTTTTAAAAATAATTTTATTGTTATTTATGTTATATTTTTTATTAAAATATGTATTTATATATATATATCTATCATTAATATGCATTATTATTATTAATAATAATATTGTTTTAAGACATTTTACACAAAAATGATCATATATAATATATAATTAGAATATAATTAGACCGCCTCCATCCTTTTGACTCACCTTCTTATTTTGTTTTTATGCTTTTTAATTTTTTAAATAAGATATTTTAATTCTGTCTTATTTTTTAGTTTTTCATTTTACACAAAATTGGAGCAAAAATTGTTATTTAGGAAAATATTTATTAGTATTATTTATATACCGGTATATATATATATTTTTATATTAAATTACATTAAAAAAAAATTTAATATTAAAATTTTACAAATATTAAAAAATATATATTTTATTAAATTATTTTTGAGATAACTGACTGCCACTCACTGAATTAAATATCCAATTAAGTGAAGTCATGTGACATACTGCATACTGTTTCACACATAATCTAAATCTACAGTATGCAGTATGCATGTAGTGAGCAGTATGCTAGCATTCCATTCTGAACACAGCCCAGTGTGCGAGGCTCCTCCCTCTGCCCTCCTCCACCCAGTGATGTGGGCGGGGCTTCATCAGTAATAGCTCATCCCAGCATGCTCCAGTTTCCACACACACACACACACACACACACACACACACACACGGAGGCAGGGAGGGGTCGAGCTGCCACTGGAGGCTGTGTCAGGATGAGGCAGTGTGGGAAAGCCTGACGATATGTTGAGGAAGCTGGTGTGCCGGAGGATCTGCGCCTGTAAGCATCTCACTGTCTGAGCACTGCATGAGTGGAGGGACGAGACAGACAGACAGTAGGTCAGGAGGGGACGGGCGTGCAGTCTCTGTGTTTCACGAATGATAGCGGCTCACATCTGTCTGTCTCTCTGCCTCTGTCTTTCTGAAATCTGATTAAATGCTGCATGCAGGCCGCATGTGTGTGTGAGTGTGTTTTGCCTTCATTTATGTCCTCAACCTGCTTTATGGAACCTTTCAATTGAAAATGCTTAATAGACTTTTAAATAATGTAATAACAAATAATGCTTTGTGAAGGTTAGAGGACAGAAAATGTAGTTTTCTCAGTGTAAAACAAGAACAGAAGTGTGCTTGTAGACAAAAATTGCATTATTATAATTAGACTGTCTCCATCCTTTTGACTTGCCTTCTCTATTTTTATTTTTAAATAAGATGTTTTAATTCTGTTTTTTTTCATTTCGCAGCAAATCGCAAGACCAAAAAATATTTTTTTTTTGTATTAATGATATATTTAAATTTTTATATTAAATTATATTTTTTATATTTATTTTATATTAAAAAGTAATAATATTTTTAAATTATTTCATTTTATAAATTGACTGAATTCATTTATGGGCACCAAATGTTCTCGTAACTTGCCTTCTCTATTTAAATTTTTTTTAATGCTTTTTAAAATTTTTAAATAAGATATTTTAACTTTGTCTTTTTTTTTCTTATTTTCCATTTTTCACAAAATTGGACCAATACATTATTTACAATTTTATTTATATATTTAAATTAAAAAATTTTATATGAAAATTTGAATAATTAGTATATTTTCTAAATTATTTTATTTATATTATTAAATTATTTTTAATTCATTTATGGGCACCAAATGTCCTCACAAACTGGATTATGGAAACTTTCAATGGAAAATGCTTTATAAACCTGTAAAATAATGTACTAATTAAAATATGCAAATTGTGGCTTAGAGGACAGAAAATGTCATTTTCTGCAGCGCTGTTTTATCATACTAGATACGTTTAGTTCTGTTATAATGCTACTCTGTGTGGTCGTCACCGGACAGCAAATTTACACTGTTATACAAGCTGTACACTCACTACTTTACATTGTAGCAAAGTGTCATTTTTTTCAGTGTTGTCACATGAAAAGATATAATAAAATATTTACAAAAATGTGAGGGGTGTACTCACTTCTGTGAGATACTGTATAAATCAAATTATATATTTTTTATATGGTTTATTTGTATATAATAAAATATATTAAATATAAAATATATACAAATATTTTAAAAATATTAAAACCCGTTGGACTTGTTGATTGTCATCTCATCAGGTAAGGAGAGCTCTGGTGCCGGTGCTGTCGATGAAGAAGACTTCATCCGTGCCTTTAAAGATGTGCCCGCTGTACAGGTGAGCATTTGTAGCATGAACAACAGCGAAGCACTTTGTAACATTTATAATGTTACAAAATATTTTTGTTTCAAATAAATGCTGTTCTTTAGAACCTTCTATTCATCAAGGAATCAAAAAAAATAGATCACAATGTAACAAAATGTATGCTACTTTCCACAACATTGAGTGAATCTTGAAAAATCCAAATCAGGTGATTTCTGAAGATCATGTGACACTGAAGACTGGAGTAATGATGCTGAAAATACAGCTGCGCATCACAGAAATAAATTATATTTTAACAGATATTCACATAGAAAACAGCTATTTTAAATTGTAATTATATTTCACAATTTTTACTGTATTTCTGATCAAATAAATGCATCCTTGGTGAGCAGAAGAGACTTCATTCAAAAACATCTTACTGACCCCAAACTGCATCTAAATATATCTGTGTGTCAGTAACTCAAGGAATCATCAACACCGCACCAATAATGACATGACTGTCTGTAATGTGGAGTGTCAGCCTGGACTCTGCATTCAGTGGTTTTCCATTAGAAATCTCTGGACAGATGCCAGTTTTCAGTGAGTTTGATGACGCTGTTGATTCTCACAGATTTACTCGGCTCGAGAGCTTGAGGACTCCATGAACAAGATCCGAGAAATTCTCTCTGATGACAAACACGATTGGGAACAGCGAGTGGCTGCAGTGAGTGATTTCACATTTATAAAAGAATAGAATGGCTGCTTGTTACCGCTCTCTCTGGAATACTTAATTGTGATTAGTTGATGGTCGATCATCCTTATGTTGGTGTATAAACTGTAACAAAATAAATGTGGTAATTGCGACTTTTTATCTCACAATTCTGACTTTTTTGTTTCTTTAAATTCTGAGTTTATATCTCACAATTGTTAGTTTATATCTCACAATTCTGAGTTTATATCTCACAATTCTGAGTTTATATCTCACAATTCTGAATTTATATCTCACAATTCTGAGTTTATATATTAATTCTGAGTTTGTCTCATAATTCTGAGTTTATATCTCAATTCTGAGTTTATATCTCAATTCTGAGTTTGTCTCATAATTCTGAGTTTGTCTCATAATTCTGAGTTTCTGTGTGGTCGTCACCGGACAGCAAATTTACACTGTTATACAAGCTGTACACTCACTACTTTACATTGTAGCAAAGTGTCATTTTTTTCAGTGTTGTCACATGAAAAGATATAATAAAATATTTACAAAAATGTGAGGGGTGTACTCACTTCTGTGAGATACTGTATAAATCAAATTATATATTTTTTATATGGTTTATTTGTATATAATAAAATATATTGAATATAAAATATATACAAATATTTTAAAAATATTAAAACCCGTTGGACTTGTTGATTGTCATCTCATCAGGTAAGGAGAGCTCTGGTGCCGGTGCTGTCGATGAAGAAGACTTCATCCGTGCCTTTAAAGATGTGCCCGCTGTACAGGTGAGCATTTGTAGCATGAACAACAGCGAAGCACTTTGTAACATTTATAATGTTACAAAATATTTTTGTTTCAAATAAATGCTGTTCTTTAGAACCTTCTATTCATCAAGGAATCAAAAAAAATAGATCACAATGTAACAAAATGTATGCTACTTTCCACAACATTGAGTGAATCTTGAAAAATCCAAATCAGGTGATTTCTGAAGATCATGTGACACTGAAGACTGGAGTAATGATGCTGAAAATACAGCTGCGCATCACAGAAATAAATTATATTTTAACAGATATTCACATAGAAAACAGCTATTTTAAATTGTAATTATATTTCACAATTTTTACTGTATTTCTGATCAAATAAATGCATCCTTGGTGAGCAGAAGAGACTTCATTCAAAAACATCTTACTGACCCCAAACTGCATCTAAATATATCTGTGTGTCAGTAACTCAAGGAATCATCAACACCGCACCAATAATGACATGACTGTCTGTAATGTGGAGTGTCAGCCTGGACTCTGCATTCAGTGGTTTTCCATTAGAAATCTCTGGACAGATGCCAGTTTTCAGTGAGTTTGATGACGCTGTTGATTCTCACAGATTTACTCGGCTCGAGAGCTTGAGGACTCCATGAACAAGATCCGAGAAATTCTCTCTGATGACAAACACGATTGGGAACAGCGAGTGGCTGCAGTGAGGGATTTCACATTTATAAAAGAATAGAATGGCTGCTTGTTACCGCTCTCTCTGGAATACTTAATTGTGATTAGTTGATGGTCGATCATCCTTATGTTGGTGTATAAACTGTAACAAAATAAATGTGGTAATTGCGACTTTTTATCTCACAATTCTGACTTTTTTGTTTCTTTAAATTCTGAGTTTATATCTCACAATTGTTAGTTTATATCTCACAATTCTGAGTTTATATCTCACAATTCTGAGTTTATATCTCACAATTCTGAATTTATATCTCACAATTCTGAGTTTATATATTAATTCTGAGTTTGTCTCATAATTCTGAGTTTATATCTCAATTCTGAGTTTGTCTCATAATTTTGAGTTTATATCTCAATTCTGAGTTTATATCTCAATTCTGAGTTTATGTGTCCTATCATACATCCGGCACAATGCGGCGCCAGGTGTGACGCAAGTGTTTTTTGCTAGTTTCAGCCCGACGCAGTTGTCATTTTCATGTCCTGCACCACATTGTTTAAATAGCAAATGCATTTGTGCGTCCATGGGCATGCTGGTTTGAAAACGAGGTGTGTTCAGGCGCATTGCTGGCGCGTTGCTATTTTGAGGCAACTGAAATAGACTGCACCTTTGACCAACAAAAACCTGGTCTAAAGTCAATGCCGCAGTAGTTTTTTTGTTATTTAAAGAGCGCGTTAGTATAGGCGGGGCCACAGCGCGTGTACACTCTGCTTATTACACACACAGGGATGCACAGCAGCACACAAACATGCCAAATATTAAAAATTAAAGGATTGCAATGTAAAAGATTATTATTGTGTAGGCTACATAAATATAAAAATGCCTACATGTCATAATGGATAGTCATTGCATGTATCAGAATTAGGCCACCTATTTGCTCGCGCACGAGCAGCTCGGTTTCCTCTCTGGAAGTCTGAGTTTATATCTCGCAATTCTGAGTTTATATCTCGCAATTCTGAGTTTATATCTCGCAATTCTGAGTTTATATCTCATAATGCTGAGTTTTTATCTCATAATTCTGGGTGTATATTTCACAATTCTGAGTTTATATCTCAATTCTGAGTTTATCTCAATTCTGAGTTTATATCTCAATTCTGAGTTTATCTCAATTCTGAGTTTATATCTCAATTCTGAGTTTATCTCAATTCTGAGTTTATATCTCAATTCTGAGTTTATCTCAATTCTGAGTTACCCTTTCAGAGTGATACAAGTCCATTTGATCATGCTTATTTTGTAAAGTACAATAAGACTGGTCATTAGCACATAGATCAAGTATTTCAGGGTCATGTCATTTAGTTGTGACCTTTGACCCATTGATTGGTTCGTTTACAGCTAAAGAAGGTTCGTTCTCTGTTGTTGGTCGGCGCGAGCGACTACGATGGTTTTTCGCAGCAGTTACGGCAGCTGGAGGGGCCGCTCAAACTGTCGGCCAAAGATCTGCGCTCACAGGTGGTGCGTGAGGCCTGTATCACACTCGGGTGAGTAAAATGTTTGTTTTTAGACTAAAAGATACTAAATAAAAGCTGCTTCATCTCCTTTGATTATGTTCTGTAATATAAAGCAGTCATATCGACTGATAGCCATTCAGATCTCTCCGGGTTGACGCAGTTGCTGGTATAAACCATCATCCCGTTCAGCCGTAGTTGAAGATGGAGTGACTGCTGAGTGGTGCTGACAGACTTAGTTTAATGAAAAGAATCAATTAGTTTAAGTGGTCTGGTTTCAAACTTTGGACAGATTCCAGCATTGTAAGATCAGCTGCCCTTCATGATGAAGCAGAGAGTGTGAAGGCTCTTAGCGTGCATGAAAACACACTCTCATTAGACAGATGGGCTCCGTTCCAAACCATAGGCAACCGCCTTCATAGGCAACATCACAGCTGAAATGGAACCACAAAAACGACTTATTTGGAACACAAATGTAGCTCCTCATGTAAAACACACAATTGATTTCAGTTTAGCATATTAATGACATGATGCTCTAATAAGCATAAATATTGGGGAAAATAGTGTGTTTTAATTTGTATTTTAAATATTTTTAAATATGATATAAAAACATATTTTTATTGATTCTTCTCAGTATTGCGTGAATTTT